TATTTTGGCTGTTTGGAGTAAAAAGCAGAATGAAAACGCCATTTAACCAAACACCCTTGTTAGCTGTTTGATCCGGTCAAAAGGCCAAAGTTAGTCAAATCAGCCAAAAAATGGCTGTTAGCCTCCCAACCAAACACCCCCTTTATATTTTGATACGGAGTATTAGTTTTTGATTAGTTAAATGAATGAATTTTTAGTGAAAATTTGCTCAATATCATTTTTGGTATATATTCTGATAGTTGACATTATTAAAAATCATTTTCAAAGGACATATTATAAATAATTTTTGGTATTGAGAACAAACTATTCTCTTACCATGCACATAGTCACATAGATAAAATCAATGTGTACATGAATAATTAGTAAGAGATTTAGGATGTTTTTACTTGGACTGTAATTTGTCCCAGACCAGACCAGACCAGACCAGTCCAGACCAGACCAGACCAGTTCAGACCAGACCAGACCAGACTTGGATAGTTATAAAAATACAAAGAAACCAGACCTTACCAGACCAGACCAGACCAGACCAGTTCAGACCAGACCAGACCAGATCAGACCAGACCAGACCAGACCAGCAAATTACAGTCCAAGTAAAAACATCCTTATTTCTCTTAAGAAATTATAAAATTATGGTAAGTCTTTTTATTCGTGTAAGCATGTAGATATTGATGATTACTGGTCATTATTTTATTATACATTTATACGTAGTACTTCGTACTAGGTACTTTGAGTACATCCATGCCTAACCATATTATTATAAGTTCAAATACTTTGTTATTATTGTACGGAGTGATATTATTTTATTGATTCTGTCCTTGAATATACAATTTTTGGTACGCCAGTAAGATTTGCGCTACTCCGCAATTTTCTTTTAATTAGAAAAAGAAAAGGACGAAACATAAACTACTTGTCTGGTCAGCTCGTCCCTCACTCCCTGCCCCGCTGTTTTCTCTGTGTTCGACTAAATTAACGAGAAAGGTCTACAGAGCTGTGCCCGTACGGCTGTATATAGTTAGTTTATCACATAGTCGAGAGTCGAGACTCGACAAGAAAGTATTCAGTTTCTTCGTTCAGTAAGCTCTTCAGATTCTTGCACAGCATATATTTTTCTCCATTCTTTCTTCGTCTCTGCTTTCTGCAATTTCACGTTCTTCATGGAACTCCCAACTGATGGGATAAGATGAGCAGTACAACCAAAACCTTGCATCATAACCATCCTTTTTTTGTTTCTTAAGGAGTATATCTCAATCTGTTGACAAAGGTATGAACTTCCCTCTTCCTTTTCATCAGAAGCTGATTTTTGTTCTCTTCTGTTCCATAAATTCTGAAACCACCCAATTCTCAAGAAAGATTTTGGTATTCTGAATTTGGGCTTTCTGCATACATACACCTTAGTGTCATAGTCTCTCTATGTCCACTGGGTTAGAAAGTTGTGATTTTTGAAGAGTTGTGAAGAAAATGGTGGTAGCTTGGTAGGCAGAAATGTCATTGACCTGCTGCGTGCCAATTGTTGAATGTGTGTACTGTTTAGCCTGTGCCCGTTGGGCCTGGAAGAAGTTCCTTTATACCGCGGGTCGGGAAAGTGAAGGCTGGGGCCTGGCGACCTCAAGTGAATTCGAGCCTGTCCCTAGGCTTTGCCGGTATATTCTATCAGTGTACGAGGATGATCTCAGAAACCCGATTTGGGCCCCACCCGGAGGATATGGTGTTGATCCTGATACGATTGTGGTGAGGAGAAGCTATGAGGACACTAAAGGAAAAGTGGCACCTTATATGATATACCTTGATCATGAAAATGAGGAAATAGTTGTAGCCATTAGGGGTCTCAATTTGGGAAAGGAGAGTGATTATCTTGTCCTTCTAGATGACAAACTCGGGCAGGCCGAGTTCGATGGCGGTTATGTTCATAATGGACTCTTGAAATCAGCACAATGGTTGTTGGAAAAGGATTCCGAGGTTTTGGGAGAACTAATCGAGAGACACCCGAACTATACCTTGACATTTGCTGGGCATTCTTTAGGGGCGGGAGTGGTGACATTGTTGGCAATGTTAGCTGTTAAGAACAGGGAGCAATTGGGTAACGTGGAGAGAAAAAGGATCAAATGCTACGCGGTTGCTCCCGCAAGGTGTGTTTCGCTAAATTTGGCAGTCCGATATGCCGATATCATCAATTCTATTGTATTGCAGGTATGTAGAGGTTTTTATAGCATTTTCCCGTTCTTTTTTCTTTGAACTTGCGGTTTTTATAAGCTGATCTGGCAACTATTCCTTGGAATTTATTATGTTTAAATTCAAGTCTTATCAAATTGGAAAATCTTAAGATATCATAAAATTTGAACGGAATTATTAGCATGCTATACTTTATATATACTTCATGATAAATATCAGCTCATTATTAGCATGCTATACTTTATATATACTTCATGATAAATATCAGCTTTTATTATTTCATCCATCTTTCATTCCTTAAGAGTTACTTTTTGCACTAAAACACAACCTAATTATTACTTTTTGATACCTAATCAGGACGATTTCTTACCCCGGACTCCAGTAGGACAGGAAAATGCGTTCAAGTCACTTTTCTGGTAAAAGATTATAGTTACCTCTCTTGCTTCCTTTGAGTATAATTTGAAATTTTATATGATCATGTAGCTAAATGCTCCTGGAGAAAATGATAACAGTGCGTCAATTTGTGTGTTTTTCCCCATCAAGCTAAAGCAACTTATAAAAAATTTAACACGTAGAAATTTAATGAAACTACAGTACCATCATATCATTCAACTTTTACTTTACTAATATCCATTATTAACTTATGATAGTTTCCCATGTGTGCTCTGCATAAAGTGCCTGCAAGATACATGCACTAAGGAGGAGAAAATGCTTAAAGATCCAAGACGCCTCTATGCAGCTGGGCGTCTTTATCACATTATTGCTAGGAAACCCTTCAGGTTAGTAGATGTTTTTACATGAGAGTGTGGGAGGGACCGGTGTTTTAGTAGACTTAAGAAAGTGATCTCCCGTGAAAATAAAAATAAAACAGGTTACTTTTTTGGTTGTTCAGTTGGCGGACTAGCAAAGAGTATGACAAACCTTTTCATTACAAAGACTAAACGATATCCATGTGTGATCAAGAACCCAAGTTAGGCTCACCTTCAATTCAATGAAAAGACACTGATGGAGTTATCCAATATCAGCTAAATATGAATTAATGAACCCGTAAACAAGTTCTCGGGGAGTTCTTTGAGATTTCTCTTTTGGGAATGAGTTAGGCCAACTTTTTTTCTTAATATGGTATGAGATCCAGATTTATCCGATAAGTAAACACGGATGTAGCCATTAGGAGGATGGGGGAGGTGAGTTATCCCATATCAGCTAAATATAAATTTAATTAAATAACCCATTGATAATTGTTGGACAACCCATTATCTCTTAAGGGCTGTTTTAGGGTTGATTTAGGAAACACATGATGTAGTATTTTCTCCGTGCTGCAGCTTCGCAGAGATATCACCACTTGTCAGAACAGCTATACCTGTGGATGGACGGTTTGAACACATTGTTCTTTCCTGCAAGTTGCTGTCTGATCATTCAATTTTGTGCATACTGAAAGAATCTCAAAGGGCACTTGAAGTGAGTATTATGCAGCAATTCTTTTAGGCCAATTGTATGGTAGTTCCTCTTTGGCTTTCTGTTGGCCTGTTTTATTCAGCATTACTTTGTACAGACATTGTTAGAGAAAGATAATGCAATGGATATTCCCACACATCAGAGAATGGAGCGTGATGAATCTCTTGCCAAAGAGCACATACAGGAGCACAAGGCAGCATTACAGCGGGCAGTTGCACTGGATGTTCCTCAAGCATATTCGCCTTCTTCTTATGGTACTTTTCATGAACTTGAGGGAGGATAGATTTATCAAAAACCTCAAAAGTCCTCTTTCACGACATTCAAAACAAGAAGGGAAAGGTGGGATGATTTAGCCTGGTGTCTTGAAGGCCAAATAGACCAATCATCACGGCAACACATAATTACAACATAATTAGGAAATATAGTGCTTTTTATTTTTATTTTGGGTGTTCCGTTCTTCCTCCATATAAGAATTGTCCTACTAATAGCTACAAGCGGTAAGTGAAATTGAAATTAAAATTTTTTATTCATTGTGTTAGAAGTAGAACAGTGGCATAGATTTTCAAGAAGTTAGTTTCCTTGCCCGGGATATTTTGTGTACTTAGATTTATCTACCCTTGTAATAAATAATATGTGAATCCTATGTATAATTGGATTTATCTCCCCCTTGTAATAAATATGGAGTAATATGTGAGAGTAAGTTTAATTTTCTGCCAACCAGTTGATTAGTGAAGTAATGAAACTCTAATGTATGAGTTGTTTCATTGTTTGTAGAAGAGTCGTTTTTGCATCCAATTATTTTGTGTCAAGTCTAATCTGCCATTTTTTGAAGTTTCAAAACATGAAACTTGAATTCATTCATACAGTTCACATACAGTTCACTTATGTATACAATATAAATCATGATAATGTTTTTCATACATGGATTGTTTTGAATTTTAAAAATCACATGCATGCGGAGTTATGTGCATTAAATCCGAGGAAAACCTGAAGTTTTCAACCCTGTATACGAATATTGTGTCGATGATAAAAGGATAATTGTGGTATTCAGTGAGCACAGCAAGTTCTAGCAAGGTTAGACATTGTTAAAGAAGATAGATATTGACTTATGTTACATACGAATAAGTAACAAATGTGATTAAGAAAATATCAATGTTTAAGTTTCAACCCTAGAGAATTCGTCCTTTCTTATAAGATGCAGGGACTTCACTAGTTATTGTGAAGAAATAAAGAATAACTCCATTGCACAATAACAAGCTTAACCATAAAAATCATAATGAACCTAGATAATGGTGTAGCTTTGCTTTACACAACAAAAACTTCAAAAGGAAATCAAAGGAACACAACAATGTCTCTTTGCTGTGCGTACATAACATTGCATTAATTAATTCCATTTTATTTTCTAATTTTTGCAACACCAAAAATACAATAAACAAAAACAAAGTTGTTTACTTCACCACGCGTGAAGTAAACAGTTCTTACAAACTTTGATCTTTCATTAGCTTTCCTCAAATCAGAAAGAACAAAAACAAACTAATGGATGTAGAGAATTAGATAGCTAATTTAATTTGAGAAATTGCAGCTATAAAAAGCATTATTGTGCAAGTTCAATGAGATAGCATCGCTAAACAAAGAATACTGCTATCCCTTTTGGCACTGTAAGAAACTGTTTGCCTAAAGTTAACTTCATGACCAATTCTAGGATGCTCCAACCATGCTATCCATTAAAAATGGTGATCATGTACTGGTTAAGTATATGTGCCTAATGCCTATGGCAGTGCCAATTCATCATTCTTTCAGGTCAGACCTAGCCACTTTTATCTTGGAGACTATTGTGCAAAGATCAGCATCTCCATCAGCGTGATCCACTACGTTAACTTGGACATTCGTATCGTTTGGTGCCTGTCACTCCACATATTTATAACCAGCTCAAAACAATTATAGCACTTCCAGTTAAAAATTCTTTTCAGCAGCTTGACCTTTTTGATGAATCTTTTCTTGTTGTCATTCCAGAAACCATGGGTGTGATGTACCATGTTGGCCTTGACAGCCACTTAAATAAGACTCTGCTTGTCTTTTATGATGTTGTATTCCTCAATTCGAAGCTGAAGGATATACCCTTGACTATGCCTTCAACATGGATTTCGTTGGATTCCCCACTAAGAAAGTGTCATTCCAAACCACTCATCTGCCGTAGTTTCTGCTGAAGAGTACTTGAAACTCTTCCACCCTACTAATCTTGGTCGTTGAATCCGCCATCTTATAATCATATTAACGGTTAGTTGATCCAGGTTTAGAGAGACATAGCTTAGAGAAGGAAAGTAAGTTGTGTGTTGATTGTAAGCATGAAAAAGCACCATTCTCCAAAACCAGGAGGGGGTGTTTATGAAGTTTTTTAACGGTACCACCACCATTCACTTTATCAACACACATATTTATTAAGCTTGTAAAACCTTTTATGTAGAAACAGGTTCCTTAAAACAATATGTTCCTTCCCTTACAAAACCATAGGAGCATAACAATTTGAAAGCAGTTTGTTTTTCCAGTGATGATAAAACGGAAATCGTTGATATAATTATATATTAATTGGACATATACTGTCCTTTTTTTGTTTCTTTAGAATATTTGAAAAGCAATCACATTCAATGACTTCAACTAAACCAACTCACTAAATCTAACAACAGCTGTTAGTAACATAAAAGCATGACATGGCTGTCCAATTGTCAGAGTCTCTTATTTTACAATGTATTAAATTTACAGAGTTTTTGGCTATCTTTATATGTTTTCCTAAACTTTTTAACTTCCAAGTCTTATTCATATTTTCTTTCCTATTCTTCTCCTATTATTTTCTGGGTTCTAAACAGGCCCTTAATGAACAGCAGAAATTATATACGAAGCACGGTGCAGTACCTCATTCCTAGCACATGGGGGAAGAAACTGAAATTGAGCTGCTGGCATGGCTGCACGGCACACATACTCGGGACCAAGTATAGCTATTTATTTCAGGATGCTCAAGATCAACTAGTTATCTTCTTTGGTCAATTCCCAACTTTCTTTTTTTTATAACGAGTTTCTATAGTTCTATAGTCATAGTTGACCTCTACTTTGCTCTCTGCCAGGGGGATGCCATAGCTCTCTAAAGTATATCATTCGCAAAGATCAAAAGAGTTTCCTCCACCAACTCCTCTAGAACAGATTCTTCTATGCTAAAAACAATGTTTAAGAGATCATATTTCAGGTCCATCCATGCTGCAGGCCTTGCCATATCTTTTTCGACTAGCGGATCCAAATAATGGGTGGGTGGTGGAGTGTTGTTGAGATGATACCACCATTCAACTCCTTTCCAGACCTCTTGGATTAGGTCCATCCCCTTTGGGGCTGATCGAAGGCTGTGTTTAACAAATGACATGCCAGTGAACTGGGCAATGTAGCGGCCACATATCTCAGAAAGAACATCGTTCACACAATCAAAGAGGAGTTTTCGACAGGACCGATCAGTCAGTAACTCTATTTCATCAAACAGCGATGGATCAAGAATCTGATCTGAAGAAAGCCAGCTTAATATATATTCATCCCAATTTAATCCTGAACCTAGCAGCACCGCTTCGACATATTCAAATGCAGACTCTTCATTTTCAGAAAAAGTAAACATATCAAGTTGTTGGTCCAATGAAGCTGCTGGTTCCTTGAAATGAACACTCGGAGGTTGAATTGGGAGTTCAACTGCAGCAGACACATACAGAGACTTCATTCATGAAAGCTCAAATCATGAAAATGGATAAGACTATAATAATGCCAAGTAACATTTAGGAAACGTCAAAACATCCTAACCTGGATGGTACACAGTGCTGGAAGGATTGACGTCTGGAGGAGCCGACCAACAAGATAAATTATCTCCTTCCCCACAGGAATCCTAAGAAATAAAAGTCTGTATGGTTATGGAATGGAGTCATACTCATTGTGAAATAAATGTGCATTAAGAAAATAAATATAACATAAGTACTTTAAAGTCTTATACGTGAGTTTGATCTTTATATTTGGTTTGAGACGGCTTAACCGTCTCCGTAGTGGCTTGTGGGAGTAGACCAATTTTGATACTCTTTTTGGCTTGAGTCAAATCGGTTGCTTCTTTGAGCTTAAGTGGCTCTAATATAAGATTTAAGAAATGAATGCATCAACTTGATAGGAGTACTCCAAACATTCATACGTGCGTCTGTTCTTATATTTTGTGGGTTTTGCCGGAAGAGTAGTCCTATGCCTTAAATGTGAGTTTGTAACTTCATATTCAGTCAGTATGAGCTGACTTAATAGATAAAGCACAAAGCAAGATAAAAGAAAACAACTACTTACGGATAAATATCTGGATGCAACTTCTGAGATTTTGAAGGCGGTTTCTTCGTCCACCATTTGTGAGACATCATGTCCACTATCTATGGTAACTGGAAAGCTACTTCGCTCACAAGTGGCACCTAAAACCTTTTCATCCTCCTGGTATCCAGTTGGGGCTGATTCTTCCCTATCTAGAATAGTTAGTAACAGAGAAATTAATTTAAAAGTGTGAGCATTGGAGAAACATAAAAGAGAAATATAAAGTTTTCCTAAGCCCAAGGGTACCTGATTTAGCTACTTCATAATTATAAGAAGAAATGTCTATTTCCAATAAATTGTCACAAGTAAGGTCACATGGAACTTCAACCCTTGCATTAACTTGTTCTGAATTGATCCCTGCAGCCAAAGACTGAGCCTCAAGAGGAAGCTCCTCACTAATTAACTCTTCCTCTTTTTCCTGTTTTCCCTGAAGAGGGGTGTTTGATATATCCAGCTTAATATATTTAGATTCTTCATTTTCAATGTCTTTTTCCTTACCTTTCTTATCTCCTCTTGTGAAGTTAAAGGGAGGGTTCGCAAATCTCTCGATGTAAAAATGGTTTCTGTTTGGAGAGCTCCATCCATTATTTTCTCCACTGATCCCAACTTTGTTGGTATTATTGTGCTTTTTACGAATAGCCAAGTCCCTGGGGATCTCTTGCCGTTCTTTTCCCATGGCTTTCTTCAGCCTTTTTTTAATCTCTGTGAACGAGAAGTGCGATGAGTTTTTCACATTCTGCTCTAACTTATTGACCAAGCTATGAGACGGGTGTAAGCCATCGGTAGAAGGTTTTAGAATTACAATTTTGGTAGAAGGATGGGATCTCTCATATTCCATTGAAGGGTGGTGGTAGCTTTCCTGACTTTTGCTTCTCCTGCGAAAAAAGTGACACTTTCTTGTTTTAACTGTATCATCTTTCTGCATCACATTAGATTTAATATGCCTTGTGGTAGTTGTCCTCCCTTCCTCACCTTCATCCTCTAAGCTCTCAATGTGCTTCACCAGCCTAGATTTTGGATCTCGTAAGAGTCTCCAGCATAATTCCTTATTGCAGCTTAGTGTTTTCAAAGCATCTATAAACTCTTTGGAGTTATCAATTACCTCATCTTCTCCCAAGCATCTAGCATTCTTCAATTTGTGGCTTACACACATCTCAATGGCTGCACCTAACTTTGCTTCAAGAACTACATCAACTTGATCTGGCAGTTTGGTATCGGAGTTGAGATCATCCAAATCAGGTAGAGACATACTTCTTCTGGATCTATCATAAGTTCCATATGTCCTCTTGGAGTTCCACTTTGTAATGCTCCTTCCCTTGCGAAAACTACATGCTCCAGGATCAAGTTCAATGTCATTTCTCTGTTTCTTAAGATTTTGCTCATCAGCTAACATATCTTCTTCAATCAGTTCCTTCACACTTGTCTTAAACTCTAGAGTCGCTGCCACACTTTTATCAACATCCTGAACCTTTTAGAATGTGTACTATGAGATTTGATTTTTATTAGATGAAATAATGACAAATATATGACAAAAATAAAAGTAATGTAGAAAATAAGACATCTACAGCTTAATGGTAATGGTGGTATTTTCACACAAACTGTAGTGCTATGTTGATGTTCAAATGTGCTTTGTAGTCACCATTATCGTCGACTCACTAAAACCAAAGTGACTTGTTACTCTTCTTATAGGAATAGAGGTGCTGAAAAAGAACGATGTTAACGTTCCTTGGCTCTTATAATATAAGCAAGAAGATATCTACACACACACAAGCTTTGACTAAAAATCATCTTTGAGTTTTTTGAATAAGTGGCTATTTGACGAACTGTAGTAACCATGCAGTCATATTTTGCCAATAAGTTATATTGTAGTAATTAGAAAGAAAAAAACTTATTAAACACGTACAAGTTTACTGTCAGATTTTCTTTATTAGTTGTCTTGAACAAATAGCACCTTAAAAAAGAGATCAGAAAAACTTCCTCAAGAAGGGGCTGATAATTACCCACCTTGACATTAAGACTCTTTTCACACGGATTTGGTGCTTCAAACTTCATACATGAATTAGATTTTTCATCAAGGTGGATTGCTTTGTCAACTTCTCTTCTAGATTGCCTTCTGTCTGCAAGTAGGTTTTTAATTGACCGGCCACTGCGCAAGTCAAACACGTTAGCGTAGCCCCAGATCCAGCCATTGTGATCTTTCTTCCACTGCAAAGGAGGAAACCTCTCTGCTCTATTTGTCATCACGGCAGATCGCTTTGTCATTAATGTGCCAAGTTAATCCAGAGATTGTTAGACCATTCACTGATCAAACTAATATGTATAGAGCAAGATATGAGATTTTATAGGTTCAACATGTTTGGCTCTGAGAAATCAAATTTAAGAAAATAAACAAAGCAAATAAAGAACATGCTTTTAGACTAATCTGGAAAAAGTTTACAATCAGCAAATCCTCAAAGAAATCCCAAGGGTACACTAAAATTGCAAATTGAAATTCAAGCTTTTGTGAATACTTTTACATGAGAAAATATATTGTAATTGAATCTTGAAAAAAAGATCAACGAACTAACAACTTCCAAAAAAGAGGCATACTTTATTAAGGCTATTTCCCATTCATGCCAACTCTAGTGAAGGGGAGCAATTATGCATCATCTTCACTGCTAGCTGCAAAATAACATCAGCTGGAAATCTGTAGAAACATTTAGCCAATAGAATTAGATTGTGCAATTGGAAAATATTTCAGCAATGCATATTTAGCCAACAAAATATTATATTTCAAATGCGCAAGTTTACAACATGCAAACAGAGTGGAGATCAAGGAACTCTAGCGTTGCCTCACTGGAAAGGAATAAAAATATTTGCTAATCTCTTTTCAACAACAAGCAAGCATCATTTTGCTTAGAACATTTGGCAATGTGAAATATTCTCTCAGTGGGAAACAGTGCCTAAAGGGTTTTCCCAAAATATGACCTATCAACAATAGTACTAATTAATTACAAAATACAATCACCCGTACAACTATTCTATATTCTACGTAGCAAATCCAACACAGCAATCCAGAAATCAACATATGATCTCTCTCTTCCAAGTCTAGATAAATGACACTTAACTCCTTCCAAATCACAAAGATCCATTTCGTTAACCCAAAAACCTGGCAAACCTAATATCGACTTAGAGAATCCGAGACACACAAATCTTCTAACCTCCCATGATATGAATATAAAAAAGATCTCATATATAGTCTGATATATTTATTTATTTTCGATACCTTTTCCATTGGCATTGGGGTATCTATTCCGTCAACCGACCAAAAATACCGAGGGAAAAACACCGCCCCTCCAATCCATACACACAGATAAAAGCGATGGTGACGACAGTCTAGTGAGGGATATTTTTGATAAGTGGTGGGACCAAGAGCAGCATCTCGTCATTCTTCCACTAGGAACGGGGAAAGGAAAATGCATCAGGTCCTGCGGAAGTTATGATTTCAGAACCATTTGACTTTTTCGCATACACTTTCTGATTTTGTTGGGTTTTTATCAATTCCAGTTTCCCATTCCTTTTAGCAGGTTTTGAGGATGTTCCACGATCAAGAACCATAGGGATCATCATAACCCCGCACTTGTCTATCTTATAGCAAGCCAATTGTGAAGTGCCAGTGTATGAACACCCAAAGTCTGTCCCGAGTCATGCCCTATTTAAAGAAAAATACGATCTTTATAAGCAACCATATTAATTTTTTACACTGAATTTGTTTATTTGTTTATTCCAATCTAACATTGAAATAGGGAGGCCCGAGGAGGTCAGCGCAGGTACAAGAAACAAAATCGTCTACAAGAGGATGACTCAGTGACTCAGTTCATACATGGAAGGAATTATGATGTAACCGTTGTCGCAAGAGAAAAATGCATTTTTATACGGAGTATATGCCAAAGCAAAATCATACTACTCCGTACTTCCTAAATAAAAGTTTAGGAAAAAGTTTAGGGGCGACTTTTAGCGCAAATTCCACCGTACAACATGCTGTACCGTGTGCATGGTACAGCCGGGTTTTTTTTGTAATATTTTGCTAAGTCAGGGGCAAACCACGGTCGTCTTCCTCTGTATTCTCTTTCTTGTATAGCCCTCTGCACTCGTTCGATCTCCACTCTTGAATCGAAATAAATTGGGAGACGATTCAAGCCGATAGGTGGAGACGATGGAGGTGTCCATGTGGATGATGTAGGGTGTTGATTGCTGCTCGCTGAGATTCTAGAAGTCCGACGAAGAAGACGCAGATCGGCTATGGCTTGTGTGGCCAGATTAATACGGAGTATCCTTGGAGAGAGAGCACATAAAGTTCTCAAACCCACTATCACCATTTTCAACTTGTATTTTAAAATTGTATTTTTAATATTGTGTATTAATATCCTGTTAATTACTAACATAAATTTTGTGTTATATTAAAAATGAGTAAAGTGTTTATGATAAATGTACATAATGGTTAAAAGAAATGAGCACGTTGAAAAAATCAATTGAGCATACACAGATGAAAATTTGAGCATCTAGAGAATTCAAATGAGGTACATTCGTACAGAAATAAAAATTTGAACATAGTAGAGATTCTAAATGAGATTCTTGTATTTTTCGTTGCTCATTTTGTAAATTATGTATGCTCGTTTCATAATTTATGTATGCTCCATTGGTATTAATGTGATACGCATTTTAAAATGTCATATTCATCCATATTTGAAAAGTATAATATGTAGTACTACATAATGCTCATTATAAAATGGCATATCAATGCATATTTTAAAACTACCATATTGCATTAGATTCCCATGAGATCAAGTTGATTATAGACACCATAGTAAAGATTATGATACTCAATTACATGCTTCTAATACTCAATAGAAAAAGTTTGATGCTCAATGAAAATGTCTTGATAATCAACTAGCAAAGCTTATTATTTTCATATCAATGCTCATTTTGAAAGTTATTTATGCTCATTTGGTACTGATGTTATGCTCATTTTAAAATGTCATACCAATGTTTATTTTAAAATTATCATTCGGAGTATTACATAAGATTAGCATATTAAAATTCATAGGAATTGATTATAGATACTCCATATAATTTAATGAGTTTTTATAAAAGAAAAATAAGAAAAAGAAAGTGAATTACAAAATATGAAATTGATATCACAATCCTCAGTATTCGACTCTTAATGCTCAATCAAATACGTCTGATGCTCATTAGAAGTGTATTAATACTCATCTAACAAAAACCGCGATTTTCACTGATATTACGAAAATGCACCGTTTTTTTGTTATAATATTAGCTTTCTTGTACTAACACGATGCTCATTAAAATTGGACAATTGCTCATTAACCGTACACTATTGCTCATTTACCAGAATCCACGATTTTCACATTATTTACAAAAATGCCACCGAATTATTTTGTTATTTTTTCCTTAGGCCTGTTACTTTCCTTGTTGGGCCGGCTGTACGGTGCTCACCGTACATCAGGTTGTATGATACACGAACTCGACTTTTAGGGAGTCAATTGGTTATCCAGAACAGAGCTCCTGATTAAGATACACATTCATCATTTTTTTCGTTGGTCTTTTTAGTTCTCTTTTATTTAAAATTGTTTGAATAATGAGTTGCGTTGCTTTAAAACAAGGACTTAATATTACGTAAGTTTTAGAGAAAAAATTACTACCTCTGTCCCGTAAAGATGTTCCCAAATGAAGTTCTCATTCCCATAAAAGGAAATCACTTTTATCCCAAAAGTCATAACTACTCTTACTTTTTACCCATTTTTTGCTTGACTTGACATAAAGTAAGACCAAACTTGGAAAGTCAAAACAAAACTCTACCTTACATAAATATGTGTGTAGGTCAAACCGGGAACTTCATTGCGGGACGGAAGGAGTATTACATTATTTAATAAGTATTCAATTGATTTGAGTATTAATAATTAGATTAAGATTTTTTTTATATTAATGGGGCCTCAATTTTAAGCTTGGAACTGGGCCCTCCAAATTCATTATACGCCCTGAGTCCAATCCTAATTTTCCATAAATAGGAGTGTCAACATTAATTGCCCCATGTTCCATTGAATTATCGGGGCAGTCTGTTGATGGCGGAACAGTTCGGTGGTGGTCGGGCAATCCGGCGGCAGCACGCACGCATACCCGGGCAGAGCTTTGGCGGTCAGACGGCACTATAACACGAAACTGTAGCGGCGACACGGTAGCAACGACTGCAGCACGGTATTGTCGCGCGACACTGTAGCACAGTACTGTAGCAGCTCGGAGCTTGCACCAATAGTGGGGGTATTGTTGTCTAATTAAAAACAAAAACTCATATTTTGGGAATATTTGCAACTAGTCCTATTTTTTTTTACCTTTTATCGTGTTTGGAGCTTGCACCAATAGTGGGGTTATTGTTGTCTAATTAAAAACAAAAACTCATATTTTGGGAATATTCGCAACTAGTCCTATTTTTTTTTTTACCTTTTATCGTGTTTTACTCCTAGTAAGAAAATTATAGCATCTAAAATCTTATAAACACCAATGAAGATTGGGATATTTTAGGAATGATAAAAATGTTAGTGTAACACTAAAGCATAATGCACTTGTACAATTTGTTTTATTCATTGTACTCTTCGCCATTGAATCAATTTTTACTCATTAACTCCGTTAACTTCAACCGTTGAGTTTCCAACTTTGAGTCTCACGTAGCCTTCACATTCAGTTACTCCATGCACTTGAATTGATTGATTTGATTTTTATTTAATGTTTGAGTTTAATTTTCATTTTAATTTTTTCATGTACTTACCTTATGCGTTAGAGAGAAGATAAAGAAATCAATTTTATGTTAATTTTTGGGAATGAAATGACCAATACCCAACAAAATTTGGATACAGATTGTGAAACGTTCTGATTAGATTATATCATATCTAAAAAATTTAGACCCGATCGGAAAGATTCAGAAAATATTAAACTAGAAAAATAAACATCTAATCATAAAAGTTCAAAACACAAGTTATTGCTTTTATTATTATTGTTGTTGTTATTGTTATTATTATTATTATAATTATTATTACCATTATTATTAATGTTTTAAATATTTTTATGATTATCAATATTATAGTTGTCAATATTATTATGATTGCTTCAAAACTACTCCTTTGTTATTCATCTCATGTGGCCTCAAAGATTTGGTTGCATCTCTATGTTAGGAGGTGTTCTATTCATCTTATTCTTATTTTTATTCAGTTTAGATCACAAAATTTAGATCAGATCAAATATAAGGATTCAGGTCATATCAGGTGAGAAAGATACACACTATATCAGAAAAATTGAGACATGATTTATTTATTATTATTATTATTATTATTATTGATCATTACATATTATTTTATTTACAATTAATATTATAATTAGCAGTGTTATTCTGGTTATTAGTATTATTATTATTTAATACTATTATTGTTGTTATTTATATTTTATTATAAATATAAAGTTGTTATTAATATTTGAGAAATAATAACTGTATTCATAAATGCTGAGGTCATACTTTAATATGTACTAGCTCCGTCTAATTAACATTGGGACAAGCAGTGGAGGACCTGAGGGGGTCCTTGGGGGGGGTCCTAGGGGGGTCCTAGGGGGGGTCCTAGGGGGGCAAGTGCCCCGCTTCCGACCCCGAGCTTTAGTATAATTACTTAAGTTCAAAATTGTGCCCCAGCTTCACGGACAAAATAAATAGATACAGGGATAATTTCTTCAAAGAGCATATAGATTGTAGTGAAAATATAAATGTCAAACAAGTTGTGATCAAGCGATTTCATGCAGTTAGAAATGTTTTTGATATGATCACTAAACTTTATTTGAAATGTGGCATTGATGCTTTTTACTAAGTATGAATCATGTTGGGCTAAAGTCGGAAGAGGTTAAAATATGACACAACTTCTAATATGTGGGATTAACTTAATAGATAGAAAACTTTTGTTCTTGAAAATAACATATACATGAAAAATTTTGTCAATTCGTGATAGACTGATAGACCTTTTGGCCTTTTGTATTGTAATATGATAAAAGTTAGATATATAAAATCATATTCTCTCCGTATCACTTTATTTATTTGTCTCATTTCTTTTTCACATAGTTTAAGATAATTACTGTAGATTTCATAAAAAGTAAGAGTTTTTTGGTACTATAGCGGTAGTATAGCTGCTTTTTGGGTGAGTTCCTTTCCGAAAAAAAGAAATGAAATACTCCCTCCGTCCCAGAATTAACTTTGGTTTTGACTGGGCACGGAGATTAAGAAAGTGGGAAATGTGTGGTGGAGAGTTGTGCAGAGGAGAGAGAAATGTGTAAGAATGATTGTGAACTACAAATCCTTTACTAAAAAGGGAAAGAGGAGATAAATTTGGGACGGACCAAAAAGGAAAGAATGAAGATAATTATGGGACGGAGGGAGTAATTTATTTGATACGTCCCAAAAGGGAAACTGGGACAACTAAAAAAACTACCCCCTCCGGTTTTTAATAAACTTCACACTTTCCTTTTGGGGACGGTCTAAAATAAACTTCACACTTCCTTATTTCCTTTTTTGGCAAAGAAATCTACTTAAAAACAGTGCCAAACAGTGTCTCAACAGTGCCAAACAGTGTCTCTACAATGCCAAACAGTGTCAAACAGTGCCTCAACAGTGTACTCTACAGTAAAGTCAAATTTCTTTCCTTATTTTGTGTGAAGTCAAACTGTGAAAATTAAAAAAAAACCGGAGGTAGTAAATTATACATAGTACTTCATTTTTAACACAGTAGTATTTTGATACAATAGTCTTAATGAGTTCAAAACTAGACCTATAATCTATATATATATATCCTTGAAACCGACATTGAAAAATCTATTTTTAGTTAAAAATAATAATCTAAATTGACTAGGCATAATAAACCAGTCCAGGAGCAAAGCGAGGGCACTGGGGGGCGGATTGGGTCGGTACATAGAATATTTTTGAAAAAAAAATCTACATGGAATTTTTTATCTTAGAAATAAAAACATTGTCTAAATTTGGGGCGAGTCAGGGCCTACGTTAACCCTCCCCGAGATCCGCCCATTGACAAGTGATGCATCCGACCCGAGCCATTCTCATCCATGCGGTTGTGTCCCCGCTTTAGAAAACTTTTGGGTCCGCCACTGGGGACAAGAGGAGGTGGCACGGTTTATGTGGTTGATATTGAATTGATAAAATAAGAATAAATTGGGAACGATTTAGAGCCACACAAAATTATCAAATTTGGTATGAGAGATATAAAATTATACAAAGTTCCAGATCAAACTCGTGTCTCGATGTTGACATTTCCATTTGATACCTATGCATTTATAATAAGGGAAATTAATACTCACTCTGTCCTGTTAAGATTGAGATCTTGATCATCACTCCTAATTACCCCAATTCTATCCCAAGTAATATTTATCTGGCAATTACAATATTTTTATTTCATATGTTTGAAACACACAAGAGTGACATCTTCTTGTGTTC